CGGCATGAGCTTGGACATGTCGGCCCAGCGGTTTCCCAGCATGCTGTGCGCCTGGCAGATGATGCGGTCCTCCTGCAGCGTCCAGCCACTCTTCTTCACCGCAGGGTTCAGGTGGTTGTGCCAGCGCTCGCGGCACTGCTTCCCGTTGCGGCTCAGCAGGTGCTTGGCGATGAGCGACCAGCGCTTCACGCCGTAATTCTGCACCAGATCGATGACCTGCACAGGAAGTGACATCACATGCTCACAGGTAAACAGAGTGTGGAGCATTACCTGGCGCAGGGTTGTGTCCCACGTCACTCTTCTGAGGAACAGTCCTGCTCTGAGATCATCAGGGCGGCGCTGTGAGAGATTTCCCCAACACTCGTCTGACTCCATATTGCAGGCGTCATCAGAGACAGTCTGTGTTTCTAGTTGTTGTATATATAATATACATGTATGGAGATGTTAATACAGCTGCCTCGCTCTGTGAGCAGGGAGCCAACTGTTCTCTGAGTGCAGTGACATTTAATATGAAGGGAATTAATTTTGTGAGATACATTTTTTTGTGAACTTTGGAAATCTGTAAATCTTCCAATTTCAAAAAGTCAGCTGTTCTACGGTGATGTTTTAAAAACACAGAGTGTGTTCAGAGCTGACCAGAGGCCTGTTCTACGAAGCTGGTTCAACCTAACCTGGATATGTTTGAGTTAGCCGGTTGGCCTAATCCAAAACATACGCGCTCTCGCTAAGCGGTCCTACGACGCTGGTTATCAAGTGGATCGCTCAAGCCAGCCGTGTCCTATCTAGCTAGGTGTTCACATGAGAGGGGTGGTATCTGGAGCATTCGACCAATCACAGACATGGAGAAGCGCACTGACAGCGCAGCGTCATACTTCCTGAATGAAAAGTCAACTATAATATTAGACATATGAAGAAGTTAAAGTTTAAACATCCATGACTTAAACACTTGATCCAGGATCAAAGCCACAGAGCTGCACCTGCAAGGTGAACACAGCTGGGAACAGAACAAGTGTTTGAATGCGTACATTAACAGCTTTATGATATCACTGCCCGTCTAAGACACCATCTGACTTTCATTACATTTGACTCCAGTGTTTCCTCAACTTAATGTGTTGCTTCAAATAATGCTTCTGCATCCAGTCTGTGACGCTGTGAGTGTTGCACGGCCAGATACGGCTCAGCTGACTCAGATCAGGAGATGATACATTATGAAGTGATATGGACTGTACTTAATGTGACTCTGATCCGGTTACTTATGTTGTGGCAGATATTTCAGTAAGCTTTCTTAACGCTAATGTTATAATAGTCAGATTGCTCTGAAGATGGAGCTGATATTCTATTCATGTTCACGTTCACACAGTCGCTGATTGTTGCCGGCCGTCTTTCCTGCGACGGCAGCTTTTCTGTATTTCCTTTCTCCTGTAATATGACTTGATCGCTTTAAACTCCGCACACTGAGCTCTGATTGGTCAGCAGGCGGTGCTTTCACTGAGTTGAGCTCTTAGCCTGCAACCTAACCTGCTCCGTAGCAGGTTAGCCGCTCAGCATCAGTTACCATGGAGATCTAGCCGCTAAAAAGATAACCAGAGTCGTAGGACCGGAAACCCAGAGTTACCCTGAAGTTAGCCGCTAAGAGAACATCCGGCTTCGTAGTATACCCCCCAGGTGTGACTTTTTTTAAACTAAACAGTCAGCAGTACCTAGCCAGCCCACTGGATGGCGCTGTGAGATAGAGGACCTCTGCACTGTGTGTAACTTGTGTATAACTGAGTGTTTACCCTCTCGTCCTCCGTCTGAGTCCACGGCCCTTTCACCAGCTCAGGATTCTTTATCTGCTGCCACTGCCGCTGACACTCCCCCTCTGACCTCTGACACACACAAACACAGACGGTACTTCAGCAGCTGGATTCTCTCTGAGTGTGTGTGTTTCTGCTCTTCTCACTTTAAGATGCAGGGACACTGAAGGCCAGCTGTTGGATCCAAACTCTTTCACCACTCTGTGCAGCTTCTCCTCCTGAGGAGGAAGATCACCATCATCATCATCAGACTGATATGTCAGCTGTTCAGTGATGGTAATATCCTGACCCTGTATGTGTGAGAGACGAGGCGCTGCACCCACCTCCTCTTTTGTCCATGAAGGCTTCTGTACTGTCCCTCTGGAGAACCGTCCTTTCCGTCTCTTTGTGCTGAGACAGCGGTTAGATGATACATAAAGTTTCATATTATAATTCACAACTCAACTCTGCCTCTGACACTTTATACAAGTGTGTGTGTGTGTGTGTGTGTGTGTGTGTGTGTGTGTGTGTGTGTGTGTGTGTGTGTGTGTGTGTGTGTGTGTGTGTGTGTGTGTGTGTGTGCTCACCAGGCCCTGCGGCTTCTGCTGCTCATCACTGCTGCTGAGGACAAACACACATCACTGTAACGGTGTGTAAAGACATTAACACATTTTTATTTTCTACACCTCAGAGACTTAACAATAGTGAACAAGTTGCAGTCCTTCCGTCTGCAGTGTAAAAACAGCAACAACTAGTCACTGAACGTAATATGAAATAAACTGATGTATAACATCAAGAACATGTTGGCAGTTAGCTCCCATCCCAATATGAAAACAAGGTGTTCCTCTCTCCTTCAGACTTTAGGAGAGAGGACCTCTGAGTCCTCCTCCAGCAGAGTACCTAACTAACTCTGTGTTCTCCTTCAGACTTTAGGAGAGAGGACCTCTGAGTCCTCCTCCAGCAGAGTACCTAACTAACTCTGTGTTCTCCTTCAGACTTTAGGAGAGAGGACCTCTGAGTCATCCTCCAGCAGAGTACCTAACTAACCTCTGTGTTCTCCTTCAGACTTTAGGAGAGAGGACCTCTGAGTCCTCCTCCAGCAGAGTTACCTAAACTAACTCTGTGTTCTCCTTCAGACTTTAGGAGAGAGGACCTCTGAGTCCTCCTCCAGCAGAGTACCTAACTAACTCTGTGTTCTCCTTCAGACTTTAGGAGAGAGGACCTCTGAGTCCTCCTCCAGCAGAGTACCTAACTAACTCTGTGTTCTCCTTCAGACTTTAGGAGAGAGGACCTCTGAGTCCTCCTCCAGCAGAGTACCTAACTAACTCTGTGTTCTCCTTCAGACTTTAGGAGAGAGGACCTCTGAGTCCTCCTCCAGCAGAGTACCTAACTAACTCTGTGTTCTCCTTCAGACTTTAGGAGAGAGGACCTCTGAGTCCTCCTCCAGCAGAGTACCTAACTAACTCTGTGTTCTCCTTCAGACTTTAGGAGAGAGGACCTCTGAGTCCTCCTCCAGCAGAGTACCTAACTAACTCTGTGTTCTCCTTCAGACTTTAGGAGAGAGGACCTCTGAGTCCTCCTCCAGCAGAGTACCTAACTAACTCTGTGTTCTCCTTCAGACTTTAGGAGAGAGGACCTCTGAGTCCTCCTCCAGCAGAGTACCTAACTAACTCTGTGTTCTCCTTCAGACTTTAGGAGAGAGGACCTCTGAGTCCTCCTCCAGCAGAGTACCTAACTAACTCTGTGTTCTCCTTCAGACTTTAGGAGAGAGGACCTCTGAGTCCTCCTCCAGCAGAGTACCTAACTAACTCTGTGTTCTCCTTCAGACTTTAGGAGAGAGGACCTCTGAGTCCTCCTCCAGCAGAGTACCTAACTAACTCTGTGTTCTCCTTCAGACTTTAGGAGAGAGGACCTCTGAGTCCTCCTCCAGCAGAGTACCTAACTAACTCTGTGTTCTCCTTCAGACTTTAGGAGAGAGGACCTCTGAGTCCTCCTCCAGCAGAGTACCTAACTAACTCTGTGTTCTCCTTCAGACTTTAGGAGAGAGGACCTCTGAGTCCTCCTCCAGCAGAGTACCTAACTAACTCTGTGTTCTCCTTCAGACTTTAGGAGAGAGGACCTCTGAGTCCTCCTCCAGCAGAGTACCTAACTAACTCTGTGTTCTCCTTCAGACTTTAGGAGAGAGGACCTCTGAGTCCTCCTCCAGCAGAGTACCTAACTAACTCTGTGTTCTCCTTCAGACTTTAGGAGAGAGGACCTCTGAGTCCTCCTCCAGCAGAGTACCTAACTAACTCTGTGTTCTCCTTCAGACTTTAGGAGAGAGGACCTCTGAGTCCTCCTCCAGCAGAGTACCTAACTAACTCTGTGTTCTCCTTCAGACTTTAGGAGAGAGGACCTCTGAGTCCTCCTCCAGCAGAGTACCTAACTAACTCTGCTGTTCTCCTTCAGACTTTAGGAGAGAGGACCTCTGAGTCCTCCTCCAGCAGAGTACCCTAACTAACTCTGTGTTCTCCTTCAGACTTTAGGAGAGAGGACCTCTGAGTCCTCCTCCAGCAGAGTACCTAACTAACTCTGTGTTCTCCTTCAGACTTTAGGAGAGAGGACCTCTGAGTCCTCCTCCAGCAGAGTACCTAACTAACTCTGTGTTCTCCATCAGACTTTAGGAGAGAGGACCTCTGAGTCCTCCTCCAGCAGAGTACCTAACTAACTCTGTGTTCTCCTTCAGACTTTAGGAGAGAGGACCTCTGAGTCCTCCTCCAGCAGAGTACCTAACTAACTCTGTGTTCTCCTTCAGACTTTAGGAGAGAGGACCTCTGAGTCCTCCTCCAGCAGAGTACCTAACTAACTCTGTGTTCTCCTTCAGACTTTAGGAGAGAGGACCTCTGAGTCCTCCTCCAGCAGAGTACCTAACTAACTCTGTGTTCTCCTTCAGACTTTAGGAGAGAGGACCTCTGAGTCCTCCTCCAGCAGAGTACCTAACTAACTCTGTGTTCTCCTTCAGACTTTAGGAGAGAGGACCTCTGAGTCCCCCCTCCAGCAGAGTACCTAACTAACTCTGTGTTCTCCTTCAGACTTTAGGAGAGAGGACCTCTGAGTCCTCCTCCAGCAGAGTACCTAACTAACTCTGTGTTCTCCTTCAGACTTTAGGAGAGAGGACCTCTGAGTCCTCCTCCAGCAGAGTACCTAACTAACTCTGTGTTCTCCTTCAGACTTTAGGAGAGAGGACCTCTGAGTCCTCCTCCAGCAGAGTACCTAACTAACTCTGTGTTCTCCTATCAGACTTTAGGAGAGAGGACCTCTGAGTCCTCCTCCAGCAGAGTAACCTAACTAACTCTGTGTTCTCCTTCAGACTTTAGGAGAGAGGACCTCTGAGTCCTCCTCCAGCAGAGTACCTAACTAACTCTGTGTTCTCCTTCAGACTTTAGGAGAGAGGACCTCTGAGTCCTCCTCCAGCAGAGTACCTAACTAACTCTGTGTTCTCCTTCAGACTTTAGGAGAGAGGACCTCTGAGTCCTCCTCCAGCAGAGTACCTAACTAACTCTGTGTTCTCCTTCAGACTTTAGGAGAGAGGACCTCTGAGTCCTCCTCCAGCAGAGTACCTAACTAACTCTGTGTTCTCCATCAGACTTTAGGAGAGAGGACCTCTGAGTCCTCCTCCAGCAGAGTACCTAACTAACTCTGTGTTCTCCTTCAGACTTTAGGAGAGAGGACCTCTGAGTCCTCCTCCAGCAGAGTACCTAACTAACTCTGTGTTCTCCTCAGACTTTAGGAGAGAGGACCTCTGAGTCCTCCTCCAGCAGAGTACCTAACTAACTATGTGTTCTCCTTCAGACTTTAGGAGAGAGGACCTCTGAGTCCTCCTCCAGCAGAGTACCTAACTAACTCTGTGTTCTCCTTCAGACTTTAGGAGAGAGGACCTCTGAGTCCTCCTCCAGCAGAGTACCTAACTAACTCTGTGTTCTCCTTCAGACTTTAGGAGAGAGGACCTCTGAGTCCTCCTCCAGCAGAGTACCTAACTAACTCTGTGTTCTCCTTCAGACTTTAGGAGAGAGGACCTCTGAGTCCTCCTCCAGCAGAGTACCTAACTAACTCTGTGTTCTCCTTCAGACTTTAGGAGAGAGGACCTCTGAGTCCTCCTCCAGCAGAGTACCTAACTAACTCTGTGTTCTCCTTCAGACTTTAGGAGAGAGGACCTCTGAGTCCTCCTCCAGCAGAGTACCTAACTAACTCTGTGTTCTCCTTCAGACTTTAGGAGAGAGGACCTCTGAGTCCTCCTCCAGCAGAGTACCTAACTAACTCTGTGTTCTCCTTCAGACTTTAGGAGAGAGGACCTCTGAGTCCTCCTCCAGCAGAGTACCTAACTAACTCTGTGTTCTCCTTCAGACTTTAGGAGAGAGGACCTCTGAGTCCTCCTCCAGCAGAGTACCTAACTAACTCTGTGTTCTCCTTCAGACTTTAGGAGAGAGGACCTCTGAGTCCTCCTCCAGCAGAGTACCTAACTAACTCTGTGTTCTCCTTCAGACTTTAGGAGAGAGGACCTCTGAGTCCTCCTCCAGCAGAGTACCTAACTAACTCTGTGTTCTCCTCAGACTTTAGGAGAGAGGACCTCTGAGTCCTCCTCCAGCAGAGTACCTAACTAACTCTGTGTTCTCCATTCAGACTTTAGGAGAGAGGACCTCTGAGTCCTCCTCCAGCAGAGTACCTAACTAACTCTGTGTTCTCCTTCAGACTTTAGGAGAGAGGACCTCTGAGTCCTCCTCCAGCAGAGTACCTAACTAACTCTGTGTTCTCCTTCAGACTTTAGGAGAGAGGACCTCTGAGTCCTCCTCCAGCAGAGTACCTAACTAACTCTGTGTTCTCCTTCAGACTTTAGGAGAGAGGACCTCTGAGTCCTCTCAGCAGAGTACCTAACTACTCTGTTGTTCTCCTTCAGACTTTAGGAGAGAGGACCTCTGAGTCCTCCGCCAGCAGAGTACCTAACACTCTGTGTTCTCCTTCAGACTTTAGGAGAGAGGACCTCTGAGTCCTCCTCCAGCAGAGTACCTAACTAACTCTGTGTTCTCCTTCAGACTTTAGGAGAGAGGACCTCTGAGTCCTCCTCCAGCAGAGTACCTAACTAACTCTGTGTTCTCCTTCAGACTTTAGGAGAGAGGACCTCTGAGTCCTCCTCCAGCAGAGTACCTAACTAACTCTGTGTTCTCCATTCAGACTTTAGGAGAGAGGACCTCTGAGTCCTCCTCCAGCAGAGTACCTAACTAACTCTGTGTTCTCCTTCAGACTTTAGGAGAGAGGACCTCTGAGTCCTCCTCCAGCAGAAGTACCTAACTAACTCTGTGTTCTCCTTCAGACTTTAGGAGAGAGGACCTCTGAGTCCTCCTCCAGCAGAGTACCTAACTAACTCTGTGTTCTCCTTCAGACTTTAGGAGAGAGGACCTCTGAGTCCTCCTCCAGCAGAGTACCTAACTAACTCTGTGTTCTCCTTCAGACTTTAGGAGAGAGGACCTCTGAGTCCTCCTCCAGCAGAGTACCTAACTAACTCTGTGTTCTCCTTCAGACTTTAGGAGAGAGGACCTCTGAGTCCTCCTCCAGCAGAGTACCTAACTAACTCTGTGTTCTCCTTCAGACTTTAGGAGAGAGGACCTCTGAGTCCTCCTCCAGCAGAGTACCTAACTAACTCTGT